GTTAGTAACCCTGCCGAACCAGTGGTGGGGAGTACGTTAGTACAACCACCAAAACATCACCAACAGGCGCCTCATGAGCAACTGCAAAAACCTACGGAAAAATCACCGCCCAGGCTGCCAAGGCAACCTGTGGTCGATGCGTGCTCCAGTGTCAGCAACTCGCCCGGGCCGATTTCGAACTGGGAGGAGTTCGCGAATATTGAGGCGCTGCTGGAGTCCGATTCCAGTAACGCCGGATAAGTAATAAACACATTGATTACATAGGTACATAAGTATGAAAGAGAATTTTATACAAATAAACCTGCAACACTGTAGAGCGGCCTAGGCAGACGCCTCACTGTAAAGCAGGACATTGCCCTCATTCAAGAACCCTGGGTTGTTAAATCAAGGGTTTCTGGCCTTGGGAGTACAAAAGGAACCGTTTTCTTTGACACACGGCAAGAAAAACCTAGAACATGTATTTATGTCCCTAGCCACTTTAAAGCTCTTCTGCTGCCACACCTGTGTGGACGTGATATCACGACCATACAGTTAAGCTGTGACATATGCAAGGAAAACCTCAAGTAGTAATAGCGTCAGTTTATCTCCCGGGAGATTCTGTCAACCTACCTCCCAGTAACGAGATGGTAGAACTGATAGAACACTGTGAGAAAAATAACAAACACCTCATTATAGGGTGCGACTCAAACGCTATCACCATACTATATGGGGGAGCGCTAACGTCAACCCTAGGGGTAAATCATTACTCGAATATTTGACAGGCACTAATCTAGAGATTCTCAATCAGGGCAGTGAACCTACGTTCGTAACTTCCCGAAGCCAGACTGTGATCGATCTCAGTCTGGCATCATCGAGTATCTCGGATCATAAAAAGAACTGGCAAGTCACTTCTGAAGCGACTATGTCAGATCATAGACTAATTTCATTTGAAATTGACTGTAAAGGAACCGTTCAAAAGGGCTATCGCAACCCCAAGGTCACGGATATTCCCCTTTACAAACATCTCCTTGGAGAAAAACTTAGAGAGCACCCCTTCGGGGGACGCCTCTCTGATCTCCTCCTCTCCTTACCAACTCTATTGTGGAGTCATTTGAACAGGCGTGTCCTCTGAGAACTGCCAAGACTCCCTATAACCATCCTTGGTGGTGCAGGGCGCTCGAAAAGCAGAAAACTCGATTGGACAAACTGTTTAATAAGGCAAGGAAGAGCAAAGTTGCAGCCGACTGGAGAGCCTACAAGGCAAACCTAAGGCTATACAAGAAGGACATTAGAAGGCGTCAGAGGGATTTCTGTAGCTCTATAGAATCCACCTCCTCGGTATCTCGCCTAAATAAGATCCTTACCAAAGATTCATACCACAACCCAGCTAGCCTCAGAAGAGAGGATGGTTCCTATACGGACAACCTCACAGAGACAGCTGAGGTACTAAGAGACGCTCACTTTCCTGGAGCCACCACCACGCCTTACCCCAACTGGCCTGAGACAATCCCTTTCACTTCCACGGAGAATGACTGGGCGGTTGCCTGTCAGGTGGTGGACGTGGCGAGGGTGACCTGGGCGGTGAAATCGTTCTCAGCATACAAGTCACCCGGTTTGGACGGCATAATACCGGCCCTCCTGCAATGGGGACTGGGATGTTATTGCTACCTACCTATTGGGAATATATACAGGCTGTATCGCTTTCAGATACATACCTAAACAATGGAGGGAGATAAAAATTGTTTTTATCCCCAAACCTGGAAAAGGTGATTACTCCACACCTAAAGCATATCGTCCAATCAGCTTGATGTCTTTTCTTCTTAAGACACTTGAAAGACTGTGCGATAGATACATAAGGGATACGGCGCTAACACGGTTTCCGCTGCATCCTAACCAACACGCATAGGTACTGCCCAGGAAGATCTACGGAATCAGCCCTGCACTGCGTTGTAGGGCAGATTAAGAGATGCTGCACTATAAAGAGTCCGCACTGGGAGTATTCATAGATATAGAAGGTGCTTTCGACAAAACAACCTTCGATTCAATAGAAATGGCTCTACGTCACCACGGCGTACCGAACGTCGTACGAGGCTGGATTGCGCAGCTGCTGAATCTCAGAGCAGTGCACATCAGCGTTGGCGACGAAACACTAAGGTGCACAGTAGTGAGAGGATGCCCCCAAGGTGGGGTGTTATCACCACTTCTGTGGAACTTGACTGTCAACAGGCTCCTCTGTCGCCTTAATGACAGTGGCTACTATACGCTGGGGTATGCGGATGATATATCCATACTTATAACCGGCAAATTTGAGGCTACTCTATGCAGACTGATGCAATCAGCTCTTACAGTAACTGAAGAATGGTGTAGGGAACACTCCTTGTCCATCAACCCGACAAAAACGGAGCTAGTTCTCTTCACAAGAAAAAGAAAGGTAGAGGGTGTTCGAGCCACCCTGCTATTCCAAAAACACCTCCAATTTTCAGAGTCCGGTGAAATATCTAGGAATCACACTCGACAAAAAACTGAATTGGAGCAAACATATCCAGCGTAAAGCCGAAAAAGCAAATAGGGCTTTCTGGCAAAGTCGCCGCGCTATTGGCAAACTTTGGGGACCATCCCCGAAGGCTGTCCTGTGGCCACAGATCTACACATACACAGATTGCTAACCTTATGCATTTTTTGGGAAACAAATTTAGGTATACTTAAAAGCGCCCTCTATTGCGGAGCAGTGCAAGTACCGATTAGACTGTAATATGACGCTTATGGATTTATGCATTAGATGTCGAATTCGTTATTCGTTATTTTTGGCATTGGATATTTGGAATCTGTGAATTTATTTTGTGATTTGTTTATAGACATGTATTCAAGAGATCATATATGTATACCTACATACGTATTCCAAATCTTATCGGCGAGGTAAAGAATGTAATGTTAATTATGGCAGAGATATACATAGTTTTTAAGTATACCTTTGCGGTTAGCAATCTGTCAAACCCTTTAAAGCTGCAAATAATTTCCGCCAACTTCAAAAAACCTTCAAGATTCTTTAAGAACGTGCCCTATGTTCGTGTGTATCTGTGACCACAGTTACCCGCTTTTAATAACTCCTTTGCGACGAATGAGTAACTCCAGTGTTAAATTAAACAATTATGGCTCAGCGTACCTCCTATCATATCACTCATATCACGTAATAATAAGAATATTAAGGAATTCGAATTGTGCAAACTTTAGCGCTTTAATTTTGTTTCAGCGACATCTAACGGATAAATCCATAAGCGTCATATTACAGTTTTAAACGATACATGTTTATACTGCTCCACAATAGAGGGCGCCTTTAAGTATACCTAAATTTGTTTCCCAAAAAATGCATAAAGTTAGCAATCTGTGTATGTGTAGATCTGTGCTGTGGCTGTACACTGCCGTGATTAGACCTATGTTCTGTTATGGAGCAATTGTCTGGTGGCCTAGAACCAGACTCTCCACAACTGTAGCACTCCTTAATCATGTGCAAAGACTAGCGTGCCTTGCCTGCACAGGCGCGATGCGAACGACCCCCACAGCCGTCATGGAGGCCCTCTTCTTGGATCTGCCTCCACTAGATCTCCACGTGAGAGAGCAGGCCATTCTGGCATTCCTGCGTCTGAAAAATAAGGGGTTGTTGAATAGCAGAGGCATTGAGGGGGGCCACTCCCGAATTCTGGGCGAGGCGATCAAGCGAGTGCCTATCCTAGAGGGGAGATCGGACACACTCACTCCTCAATTCATATTAGGGAAAAACTATCACACCTTCTTTGATGAGAATATGGCATCCCAACCAGATATATTCATCTTCACGGATGGATCTAAGACAATGGAAGGTACAGGCACTGGTATTTACTCCAAAGAACTGAACTTCCATATCACCCAACCACTAGGCAAACTTCCTACTGTATTCCAGTCAGAGTTGGTAGGATTAACGCTTAGTGCAAGAACAGTTCTTATGCATAACATAAAGAACAAAACTACCAGAATCGCAAGTGACAGCAGGGCTGCCTTGCAGTCACTTGGTCACTGTAAAATTACCTCTAGGATGGTTTCCGAATGTCACCACGTACTAGAGCAAGTAGCAAGCAGCAACACCCTTGAGCTCGTATGGGTCAAAGGGCATGCTGGAACGGAAGGTAATGAGAAAGCCGATAAATTAACCCGACTGGCCTCAAAACAGGCGTTTTATGGTCCAGAGCCGTCTCTTCCACTTACAGTTACAACTGTAAACAACCTAATAACTCAAGACACCCAAACCCAGCACAGGGCTAGGTGGAACTTGATGTTAGATTGTCGCCATGCGAGAGAAGCCTTCAGAGGACCATCTCGTAGCTTGGCGCGTTTTTGTACAGGGCTATCAAGGAAGAACCTGAGGTTACTCGTGGGCATACTTTCTGGGCACTGTAAACTAAACATCAAGCACATACACTGCATGGGTTTGGTGGAATCGCCATTTTGTAGAGGATGTTACACAGACGACGAGACGGCACACCACATACTCTGTGAATGTCCAACTGAGACGATCCATGTTGGGGGAATCCTGGCCTTCCAGCGTCCTAAGTTTCATCTCACGTGTGGGATGGCTTGAGTGATGTTGAGGGGTCGGGCGACCCTAGTCAGGGAGGTAGTACAAAGGGCCCGAATTTGAGGCCTAAGTACCCGTGGACACTGTTCACCCTCCTATCGTAATCCAGAATCCAGATCTGCGTCACAGCTTGAGCCCCAATGTCATCGTCTACATTTATTCGTATTGATAAACTTTACGTATTCATTCGTTGCGATAACCGTTCTCAAAGGTATACATACAGGATGGTCATTATACTACTGTTACACCTGTAGAATCGATAACATCAAACAGTTTGAAGATTGGGCTACTAGATCAAAAGTTACAGTCCTTTGAATTTTTTTCGAAATTGGGGGGGGGGAGGGAGGGGGAACAAAATGAACGAAACTTTCAAGCAGTTTAGTTCATTAATCTCAAGTGATGCAACTAATGGTAACTTCTCGCAATTATTTACTTTGATATTTTCTTTTAATATTGAACATTTGTTTTACATTTACATCAAATTAAATTCATTTCCATAAACAAAACTAGTCAATCTTACGTCGCAATATAGTATGGTCGGAATCGGGAAGTGGATTTTTTGTTGTCCGCAACTGTAAGATGGACTAATGTTTGTTATGGAATTGAACTAACATATATTTATTTAGTCTACTCTCATTATTTATTTCTTCAATGTTTTACATTTATATTATGAACTATGCAAACAACAGACATATAAATAAAATCTATCTTCAATAATAATAGAAAAATTATATAACACCCTTATGCTATATACAACACGATTTAATAGCAATAGAAGGATAACCTTGGTCTTTTAAAAACTGTCATAAAATACCTACAGGTGGACAATAATTGTAATGAACGCGTTCATTAAAACTAGGAAGACGAGTAATCGTTTCGTAGTCTATCAATGGATATAACGCCTGGTAAGAACGAGAGGTACATCAACAGAATGAAGAAGAAACCATATAAATTATTGTCTATTGTCTATAGCAATGAATCTATTTTGACCAAAATGTAAACAATAATAAATTTTGCTACCTAATTCACGTGTTGCACAACCTGGTATGGAGTGAAACAACCACAATTCAGTTACCTACCCCCTAACAACTTCAGCGTTGCCTTTTTTTCTCAAATTTGAACAAATATCGTGCAGTCTTTTAATGCATTAGTGCACTTGTTTATCGACCTATAAGTACATGAACAAAAATATCCGCCTAACGTACCTACCCCTAGGGCTAATCACAACGATACGAAAAAGTCAAGGGCTAAAACGAATCCTCTGTAAAGCATTCACAATTTGAACATTGATTGTACGTATCTCACGTCCAGCCCGACACACAGAGGGAAGGAGATTCTCGGGATGCGAACACATCAGTGGGAGGAACGCGGTGGGAGGCTGGACGTAAACCCTAAGTACGACTTATACACGCATTACTCTAGCACAACGTAAAGCAAACGTTTATATCAGAAAGACGGCTTAAGACAATACTAATCCTAAAATATCTTATAACAAGCCTAAAGATTTAAAAAATGATTTAGTAAGAAAATTTGTTTCCCAAAATTTCGGTTCGACAAGGAAAATTTTGGGGAAACATTTTTACCACCCTGTTTTGAGAAATACATTTATAGTTTATACGAATAGTTTTGTAAGCAGTGCATATTAGGAATTTTAAAGAGTAATAATGGATGCTGATTTAAGTGTCCAGATTTTTCGTCTCCACTTGGCGCTGTCTCTCCTCGCTGCGTTTCTAGTTTCTGGCCGTTAGGATAGTCACGAACTCTTTAAAAGAAATAAAACAGTTAGATTAGAAGCACTTCTCTGCTTATTTCAATGCAAAAAAAAACTGAATGGCAGTATTTGCACATCTGGTGCTAATAAATAAGACAGAAATTGGAGAAGTATTTCAAAATTCGTAAAGAAGGAGTTTATTTTATGGTTTTACTACCATCCGAACAGCGGCCGAAAATTGGTCATCCTAGTCATCAAGTCAGTACTGCAAGTGATTTTAAGATTTCTTATTTTGATTGTCGACCGGCTGCGTACGGGGTATTATGTCCAAACAAACTTTTGTTTCTTTTTTTTCATGTAGAATAAATTTTTATGTCAAGCTATATTGATTGTATATGTTTATTGAAATCCATATGGGACCCGGATAGAGTTTTTACCCTTTCCTTGCTAAGAAAACAGGTGAAAACTTCTTCTTTGAAATTTTCGGAAATTAATCGAGGCGTCTCCGAAATTATTAATTTAAAGTCACCACTGAGATTCTTCTTTGTGACCGAAGGCTGACGTTTAGGAGGAAAATAATTACAATTCCAAATTAAAGGTTGACTTTTCATAGGGTTTTTGTCTGTACGTCTCTCTTGGCTCAAGGTCGAACGTCATATGTTCCTGTGTTACGTTGGATCATTATGTCTTCTGGAATCCGTCGAGTTCCTCGACCATTTTAGTCTCTTCGCCCTTGTCGTTTATGGGGAATTCGTTTTGTACCATTTCGTTTCTTGGACCTCTACTTACTGTCGTCAATGTTTTCCGTCCCCTTGGTTTCATTGGCTCTATCAACTCCTCCCTCCCGGGCGAGTGGCTGACACTGGAGCACGCATCGACCACAGTTTGCCTTGGCAGCCTGGGCGGTAATGTTTCCGTAGTTTTTTGCAATTGCTCATGTGGTGCCTGTTGAGGATGTTTTGGTGGTTGTACTAACGTACTCCCCACCTCTGGTTCGGCAGGGTTACTAACCCTAACTTTCAGAGAGGAAAACCCATAACTGAGTCTTCCCCTCTTGGCGATTAGGTTAGTCTGGTCCTCTTCCTCGATGCCGAAAACTACCAGCCTCCCTTGAGGTTGGTCCTTCACGGCTGTGTGGAAGAAACACCAGCTGCCTACCTTTGCCCAGGAATTCTGCACTTCCAAGCGCCGTTTAACCGTCGCCAGGTCATCAGGTGCCCCTGGTACCCAGATGGCAGCCTTGCGGAGTCTAGGAAAACAGTCTTCCTGCACTACCTTTAGTATCGCCCTCATCCACGTTTCCCCCTCATCCCGGATCTCATTCCTACTTTTCCCAGTCATTCCCACCTCCGTACAGTTCCATAACATATGTTCTATTTCCTCTTCTTCTTCTCCGCATATTCTATATTTTCTTTTTTCTTTTTGTCTCCATTTCTTTTTCCGTCTTTCTTCACCTTCGCATCTGAATTTAGCTATTGTTTTAATATTTCTCCTTCTTTCCCACGGTACTACTATCGCGTCCGCTCTTTATCTTCCCCCTCTGTTGTTGTATGTGTGCATCCTAGTCTCTTTTTACCAGCTCGTCTTCCATCTTCCCTCATACTCCTTTCTTGTTATCGATTCTCCTTCAACCTCGTCTCTTGCGACCCCTTCTTTCTTCTACTTTCCTTCTAGTAACTTGACAAAATGTTGTTTCCAGTTCTCTAATTGTATTTCCCTCTCACTTGTTCTATTTTTTCCTCTGTTTATCACCTTCCAAAAACCCTTCCCTGTTTTTATTTCCCAGATTTGCTCTTCGTATCCTTTCTTCTCCATATTCTTTTCTTTTGTATTTTTTCAGTTCTCTTGCCCCTTTCTCCTGTTTCTTCATTTTTCTATATCCAAATTACCACCCTTCATTCTGACCCCTGATAAAAGAGGCGGTTGGAGGGGGGGGGGTGTTTATCTTTCATGGTACTCTAATGAAAGGTCTCAACGAAAGAAATTAATTTCTACCAATCATAGTCCTCCTCCTCTACCCCTTTTTTTATCTCTGTCAATATATCTACCTCCTTGTGCTCGTCATTTTATATTGTTCCTCTTTGCAAATTGGTTCTTCCATATCTCTGATTTTACCATCATCCGCATGGCATCATATTCTATTATACAAATCCAGAATTGAGCGTCTACTCCCGCTACCTTCCAGAATATCATTTTGATGCTGTCCTTAATTATTCATTTTTATTTCGTTTTTCTCTTTTCTTCGGTTGTTTGTGTCTGTACTCCCCTCCCCGTTATCTTCTCTATTTCGTTTACTGTTAGTTTCTCCCTCCAAACCCCCACCCTTTCACCCTCCTTTGCCTTTCTGTTCCCATTATTCCCTCTCCTTTAGTACTCCGTCTGTATTATTTATCTTCTTTCATTAGTATCCTATATCTGCATCTTACTTTCTTGTCCTTTCCCCTTTCCCTTTCCGCAACTTTTCTCATTTCTCTACGGACCCTCTTTTCTTCATAGTTAAACTCGCCTTTCCCTCTCCCCTTATAGCCTCCCTATTCTTTTCGCATGTTGGTTGCACGATTACTACCTTACTTCCCTTTACTTCAAAAGTGCCCCGATCTGCTAGTAGGTTTTCTTTTAACCATTCCTCCACCCCCCTTTCACCCTTATTTAATTCTACTCCCTTTATCGTTTATTTTTTCTCTTATTTTTAGTTATCCTTTCTATAAGTTCTTCTTCTTCCTTGTCCCTTGTCTTATTTTATCCAAGGGAAAATTTAAAAAAATAAACTACCTATTTCCTTTTCTTCTTCTTGTTCTCCGCATATTGTACCACTACTATCGCGTCCGCTCTTTATCTTCACCCTCTGTTGTTGTATTTGTGCATCCGGGTCTCTTTTTACCAGCTAATTTTCCATCTTTTCTCATACTCCTCTGTTATCGCATCTCCTTCAACCTCGTCTTTTGCGACCTCTTCCATAGCCTCTTCTTTCTCCTGCTTTGCTTGTAGTAGCTTGAGAAAATGTTCTCTAATTGTATTTCCCTCTCACTTGTTCTATTTTACTCTCTGTTTATCAACTTCCAAAAACCCTTTTCTGTTTTTATTTCCGAGATTTGCTCTTCGTGTCTTTTCTTCTCCATATTCTTTTCTTTTGTATTTTTTTCTGTTCTCTTGTCCCTTTCCCCTCTTTCTTTCTCGATCATTTTTCTATATCCATTTCCCTCTTCTGTGCACTCTTTGTTCCCCTTCTTTGTTTCTCTTCCCTCTCCTTCGGTTATTGCTTTTTTCATACTCTCCTCTGTAATCACTCCTCCTTGTTCCTCTATTCGCCCTCTAATACATCTCCACCATGTCTTTGTCCATAACTGACTTCGTCTTTGCGTCATTTCACTTTCATTTAAAGCGCATTTAAAAGTTAAAGGGGGGGGGGTGGCTTCTTCACGAATTATTTCCTGAGATACTGTTTTCAAAGTAAAACGCGCATATCTTTTACATGCGACAACTGATTGGTCTCAGATTTGACTTTTGAAAATGGTGGAGGGGAAGGGGGGGGAGGGTGAACACACGTTATACCTTTCATGGTATTGCAATGAAAGATCTCATCGAAATGAACTGTTCTCTACAAATTACCACCCTTCTTTCTTATCCCTTATTAAAGAGGAGGTTTGGGGGGGGGGGGTTGAGAGGAAGGGGGCGTTGTATTTTTCATGGTATTCTAGTTAAAGATCTCATCTGGTTAGGGGGGGGCGTTGTATTTTTCATGGTATTCTAGTTAAAGATCTCATCGAAATTAACTGTTTCCTACAAATTACCACCCTTCTTTCTTATCCCTTATGAAAGAGAAGGTTTGGTGGCGGGAGGGGGGGGGGCGTTTGTATTTTTCATGGTATTCTAAGGAAAGATCTCATCAAAATGAACTGTTCTCTACAAATTACCACCCTCTTTCTTATCCCTTATTAAAGAAAAGGTTTGGAGGGGGAGGGGGGGTGCCGGTTATATCTTTCATGGTATTCTAATGAAAGATCTCATCGAAGTGAACTGTTTTCTACAAATTACCACCCTTCTTAATTATCCCTTATTAAAGAGGACGTTTGGGGGGGGGGGGGTTATCTTTCATGGTATTCTAATGAAAGATCTCAATGAAAAGAATTAATTTCTACCAACCATGGTCCTCCTCCTCGACCCCTTGTCGTGATCTGGTATAATTTCTTATATCTCAAGAACAGATTGTCGGAGGAAAGTACTCACAAACGCAAAATGAATGAATGAATAATGCATGAGACTTATCTATTGGTCATATAACCCCCATTCCTTTACCTTTTTTATCTCTGTCAATATACCTATCTCCTTGTTCGTGTCCTATTATATTGTTCCTCTTTGCAAATTGGTTCTTCTATATCCATGATTATACCATCCGCACGGCATCATATTCTCTTATACAAATCCAGAATTGCGCGTCTTTACCACCTACCCCCGCTACCTTCCAGAATATCATTTTCATGTTGTTCTTAATTATTCATTTTTATTTCGTTTTTCTTTTTTCTTCTGTTGTTTGTGTCTGTACTCGCCCTCTCTCTCTCTTTATCTTTGCATTTAGTTTCTCCCTCCAAACCCCCACCTTTTTCTTCCTCGTTCTTTGCCTTTCTGTTCTCATTATTCTCTTTCCTTTAGTACTCCAATCTGTATTCTTTATCTTCTTCCATTGGTATCCTATATCTTCATCTTACTTTTTTGCCCTTTCCCCTTTCCCTTTCCGCAATCTTTCTCATTTCTCTCTGGACGCTCTTTTCTTCATATTTAAACTCGCCTTTTAACTTCCCCTCTCCCGTCATAGCCTCCCTCTTCTTTTCCCATGTTAGTTGCACGATTACTACTTTACGGTCCTCTGACGGTAGATTTTCTTTTAGCCCCCCCCCCCCTCATTCTTTATCAATTCTACTTCCTTTATCGGTTTTTTCTCTTATTTTGTTCTTCGAGTGTAGTTATCCTTTGTATAATTTCTTCTTTTTCCTTGTCCCAACCTTCTCTTAATTTACTCTCTTATGCAGTGAGCAGAACTGGTAGGTATTGATTAGTGATTATCCTTTCAATTGATAATCTTTACGTGACTCAAAATAGAGGACGAGGAAGGGGTAAACTACCTACCTTCGTAGTTGACCTGACCATCACCATCCAAATCAGCCTCCTTGATCATATCGTCAACCTCCTCCTCCGAAAGCCGTTCGCCCAAGCTCGTCATGACGTGGCGAAGTTCATTGGACGATATCAGCCCATCGTTATTTTTATCGAACACTCTGCAAAGAAAACGAAAAATCAACGACCAAAGCGAGAGCGACGGGTCCGTTAACTTGGCCCCCCCCACTGAGAGATTTCATAGTCGTATTATTTTGAAATGAATGCGCTCGTTATGCGCTCATATGCGCCACCGATAATAACTCTTGCGCCATTATCGTTTTTTAGAAATCCGAAAAAACATTTGGGGGGGCCAAGTGAACGTAGCCCCCCCCCCCCAGTACGTATTTTGTCCCTTGTAACTAGGTCACCTGATACATTTGGTTATGCGCTCAATTGCGCCACTTGAATTAAAGCTAGCGCCATTACGGTTAAGCCGTGACAAATTTTCAAAAAGTGGGGGGGCCAACTTAACGTTTTTAAAAGTAACTTTTTTTTAACATCTTTTCATACGAAATTGTACTCTCAGGTATGCGCTGAAATGCGCCGTAAAAAGATATCTTTGCGCCATTATTGTTTTTTGGTTATCCTTAAATATATTTGGGGGGGGGCCAAGTGAACGGAATCCCCCATAACGCATTTTGCTACCGGTATTTGTGCCACTTGATACATCTGGTTATGAGCTCAATTGCGCCACTTGAATTAAAGCTAGCGCCATTACGGTTAAGCCATAAAAAATTTTTAAAAAGTGGGGGGGAGCTAACTTAACGTTTTCAAAAGTTACGTTTTTTAACATGTTTTTTCTACTACATCGTACCTTTCATCATGCGCTAAAATGCGCCGTAAACAAAAATCTTGGCGCCATTATAGTGTTTCAGAAACACTCTACAGGGTGTTTTTTTGGGAGCTTTAGTTAAACGATTCTGGGAAAGTAAAAAAGGTAGGTTTTTAAAAATTTGTATTTAGGAGTTACTCCGAAGGCCGAATCGATGTAAAATATTTTCAAAATGGACGCACTTCCGGAAATAACTTTTGAAAACGCTAAGTTAGACCCTCCACTTTTTAAAAATTTTTTATGGCTTAACCGTAATGGCGCTAGCTTTAATTCAAGTGGCGCAATTGAGCGCATAACCAATTAATGTATCAGGTGACCTAGTTACAAGGGACAAAATACGTACGGGGGGGGGGGCTACGTTCACTTGGTCCCCCCCCAAATGTTTTTTCGGATTTCTAACAAACGATAATGGCACAAGAGTTATTATCGGTGGCGCATATGAGCGCATAACGAGCGCATTCATTTCAAAATAATACGACTATGAAATCTCTCAGTGGGGGGGCCAAGTTAACGGACCCGAGAGCGACCTCACCTGAAAGCTTCGCGAAGCTCCTCCTCGCAGTCGGCCTCCTTGAGCTTCTTCGACATCATCTGCAGGAACTCGTTGAACTCGATCGTTCCGTTTCCATCCTGGTCGACCTCGTTGACCATGTCTCGCAGTTCCGTCTCTGTGAAACAGATGGCGGGTATATGACAAACAGTGCAATTAAGTAGAAACCTGTTGGACGTTGACCTAGAGACCGCATCACAACTCCAAGCTCTGCCATCGTTATCGTGCCGTCTTCGTCTTTGTCGAACAGCATGAACGCCTCTTTAAATTCCGCGACTTGGTCCTCTGACAAGCCGTATTCGGTCTAAAACAATAAGAAGATTTTAAATGCTTTGATTCCAAAGGCTGATGGGAGCCTCCAAAGTGGTAGGAGAAGAAAGGTGTTTTTTGGGAATACCTACAGATTGCCGAATAATTTCGTCCTGACTGGTAAGCCTGCGCAGTCGATCGTATTCCCTACCATAACGTCCGACAGTTTCACTTTCAGTCATTGTCAGTCTTTCACTTTCACACCTCAACTACCAGAAACACTGCCATTGTTCTCGAGAGAATTTTTTTTGTAAAAATCATGCCGAAGCATTTAATATTATCCATGGTATCCGCGACTGTTTTCTTGGCACTAGAAATAACAACTACGATCGTGATTTAGTTTATCTAACGTCTCCTTTATATACAAAGTTTGGCACACTTAGAAGGTGAAATAGCGAGATGACAATAACATAAAATAATATTAGTATCGTTGGCGGTGCGTCCAAAAAGGAAATTTTTGAAACCGTCGCAAATGAAAGTTCAAGCACAAAACGCACCTGAGCAATTTAATTTTACACAAACTCGGTGCATGGTCAACTTGAACTTCGGCCAAATTCCTAAAATAATATCCTTAATTTTTAATGAATTTTCGAACGTTTATAAATTAATAAAGGCCATCGGTTTGTTTAATGGGTCATCATAAATATAAATATCTCGCGAGTGAGGGAGTAATCCGCGTTTATGGCCGCCGTAAAATTTATTAGCTTTTGCCAGAATGAATAAGATAATAAAAAATTACAATATCTAGCTGGACCTTTGTAAACAGCTCCCGCAAGTTTTATATCGGGCGTTTTATTTCAGGCGTACGGCAAATGTTGGGAGGAGTGGGTTGGACCCGTTTTTTAATATCTTGTTAAATAAATAGTGCTATAAAGATTTTTGGAACGGATATGAGCGTTATGTAATTACGCAGTGTTCTTAAAAAACGCACGAGACATCTATCGCTTTCAAATGGTACTGTAGTTCTTGAGAAGGGCTTTTTTTGGAAAGGTCCACCTGGTCATTTGAGCGCCACGCCGACCTCAAACTGACAGTGGTTCAAAATTTCTCCAAACAGAATTGCACTGAAAAAAGCAACCTCGACTAAAGATCAAATTCAAAGGGCTTCGAAGTATTCTTCATTTTTTGACTGAAGAATTCAAAAAACCAAAACCGATCATTAGAAAAAGGCGGGAAACTTCGCCACTTTTGTTGCCATTGCGCTGGGGCGCGACATATGCCAAACAATGCGGATTTTGTGGATGGGAGAGGGGGGGGGGGCTAACTGGGTGTGGTCGGGGTACGGCCACAGTTTCGCAACTGGTATAACTGCATCAGGGGAAACTCTGCTTCCTGTCGATAGCCTCCTCCCTTCGTTCCATTAGTTCCCGACGCTTCCATCCATTGATTTTAATTCTCCTCCCTTCCTTATTTTGTCCTCTCTCTCTCTCTCTGTCTCCCTTTCTGTCTCCTCCTCCTCCCCTTAGCTGCTTGTACTTCCGCCTCATTCTTCTTCCACCTCCAGTACCCGTCTGCTTTCTTTCTTCATTTCGTGTTTGTCTCTGCTCCACCCTTCCCATCTCTTTATGAGATTAGTGGTGTTCCATGTGAAGCAGAGCCGCCAGTAGTGACGGTAGTTGTAACTGGGTGATCGGACATCCTTGTTTCATTCCTCTGGTTTCCATTCGGTGCTCGGTCTCCCTCCCAAACCAAAACCCTCCTGGCATTTTCCCCATTTTCTGTTTTCCTACTATCTCCATCATTTCTTCCAACGTGGGGGGTGGCAGTAGTGGCCAGTAATCGTTCCCCCCCAATACCTGGACCTGTGCTTCTTGCTCCTCCTTCTGGAGCTTCTCTCATGCTGCCATTGGTACATATTTTTTCATTCCTCCTTGTTTCTTCCTTCTCTTTTTTTATGTGCTTATACAATTGTGCATTCCTCTCCATTGGGCTAAGCTTGGCGATGTTCTCTGCGAACTCGGAGAATTCTTTGATCTCATGTTGTTCAAAAGTTTTATTTTTCTCCTCCCTGGCCTCCCTTAACCCCTTCTTTGCTTCGGGTCTCAGTGCTCTTCTGTGACTTGCTTCCTGTTCAGAGACATGGGCGGTTTATGTTCCCCTACTGCTTCCTTGAGCGTCTCGGCGATCCTGTTCCTTCTCTTTCCTCTTTTTGTTCCTGATCTCTTCGTGCTCCTTTCTGTACTCTTCCCCTTTTTTCTCCCCGGTCAGAATTATCACATCTCACCATTCAGTTCTCCCGCTTCGCTCCCTGTCCTCCCCCCCCCCCATTACTTTCTGCCGTACCATTTTATGGACCGATTCTACTTGATTCTTACTATGTTGCCGATCTGTGATTCAGGGTTTCCTCCCCTCCACGTTGTCGGCATCCCTTTGAATTTGCTGAATGTGTTTTCCGCCCTCAGTCCATGTACATGTTCCTAAGCTCACTGTCATTCACGTTGTCTTGCTCGTAATCGAGCATTTTACCTACCCCCTTGTTCCTCCCCTTCCCTTGCATCTAGTCCGCCTAATTGCGCATTGAAGTCGCCTAATATGATGTCATGGTATTTTTTGCTCTGTTCTTTCGCTCAGCTTCCCGAGTCCTCTTTTGTCCGAAGAGATATGGCATCCTATAACTGTTAGTCTCCCAAAGCTCGTCTTGATTTGAGCCATACAATATACAGGGTGTACCACCTAAGACGAATCATAATTTCTTTATCATAAAAAATGCCGAAAAAGGTCACGCAAAATTGTACGCAATTACCGTCACTGTATTTCTAAAATATTTTTGATCACCAGGGGCGTGCTGTATTCCAGTGTCGTATCAAACTTATACCCCTAACTTTAACGATTTCGCGCATTTCGCCTTTTTTCGTCAAAATTTGACAGTTTTTCGTTTTTTTTGGTTTTTGAACTGTTTTGGAGCTCTTCTACAGTCACATAATTTTTTTAGTACTTTATCGAAAAAATAAAATTTTTGATTGACAATTCGCCAAATGTCATATTTAAAAAAAATTCAAATGGCGCCCCCTTAAACAAATTATACCTCTGGGTAGCCAAAACTATACATTTTCCATTGATATAAAGAAAACCACACATTCCATAGGAAAATTTCAGAGAAAAACCAAGTCGAAACGCCAATTTGTTCTTTTCCCAGCCCAAGTGTGCTATGATGAAAAAAAAAGATGTTCAATTCTCAGAATTAGCAGTACAGGCCACCGGATAATATGTGTCTCAGTGGTAGAGCGTTGGGCTACATAGCCGGAAGGTCGGGTGTTCGAACCTAGGCTGAGGTAAAAATTTTTCATCTGAGGCAGAGATGGGAATTTCCTTAGATCAGTTTCGAATATTCTGCCGGCTACTCCGAATGCAGTTTTCCTAATTCGTAAGGTAAATATCGGAGTAGCACTTAGCTTTTCGCCCTCGCTGTCCTGTTGATTTGATTTCTACACGGTCTCGACCTCCTCACAATTTAATTAATTCCTCTCGCGTTATTCGTGTCTTGATAAAGACGAATTCCGATTGGGCTTCGAATGTAAGTTTTGAATTAAGCCCGGATCCGCCTCGCGTTTAAAAGTTAACGACTTCTTTACTAAAGTAAACACAGAGCTTGCCTTTCGTCCCCTCACCGGGTATCCAATCGGAATCGTCTTCTGCGCCTCGTTGTCCCATTCAGTCGCTTGATTGAAAATTACCCTAGGCCAAAGCTTGTATTCGTGGTATATGAAGTTTCATCTATTGCGCAGCTTAAAAACCAAAGCGGCCCAGTCTGGGCCCGTAAAGAAATTTTTTTTACCTAGTAAGTTCGTTATTTTAAATGCAACCCCTATTTTTTATTTCATTTTTGGATTCTACGTGAAAATTTCAATTGTTTTGACACCCCCGGGTCGATATCTACAATTTATGGTTTTTCAGCTACTTTGACGCGAGGAAAAAAATGGCGGATGCAGACGGTACCTTGGAAATTGATTACTTGAATACGGTTGTAGTTATGGCAACCCATTTTTGCCAGTGCACAGAGAAAGAATAGGGCTTTCTTTTAGTGTACTTTAAAAAAAGTTAAGTTGCGTATTTCAAACACTAAAAACTCAGATTTTTTAAATGAAATCAAAATTGGCGTATTTTGATATTACATGTTCCTATACCTATCTTTAACAGTTTCTGATTTTCATGCCTAAATCTAAGCCAAAGCGATACACTCTCAACAGCTAAACCCTTTTCTTTTGTTTCTCGAGCTTATGCTCACTCTTTTCGTTGACTGAGCCTTAATTTTATGTCTACTACGAGCGAACGCGTAAATGACAGTACTCGGCACCGATTGTCCACGGAAACGCGGACTGGTATTATGAGTCGTAAAAAAATAAGAAGAACATTGATGAATCTTTGCAAGATAATTCACTGGTCGCTCGTAGACACATCACGTTCCAACCACTCACTCAATTTGAGTGGCCAGAAAAATAGGAAATATGGTTTAAGAGGTTCGAAAGGTACCAGATGCCGTCGGGGCTTGATCAAGAGCCAGAAGAAAATCAAGTGACTTCTTTAATTTATTGTATGGGAGAGAATGCTAAAGATATATTGACTTGCTCCCAACTTCCTGGGAAAAACTCCACTCATACAAAACGGTAAAGGCCGCATTTGATGAAGCTTTTATAGGAAAGCGGGATATAATTGATGATATTTACGATGAGAGAAAAAGGGGGAGTTTCTCACCGACTCAAAGGAAATCATAGAAAGTACGGAAAATTTTGAGCAAATAGAAGGAGCCCCGAGCTCCTCGATCAAAAAATTTTGAAATTAGAAAACTAATAAAGAGATCGGCTTACCAAATCTATATTCACGATGAGATCGTGCTGATGATGCTTCCCGCCCTTCTTCGGCTTCTTCATCGACTTATTCGCGGCGGTCGCGGCCGCCTTCGCCGGCGCCTGCTTGATCGGCTGTCCCTTCTGGGCGGCCGGTTTCGGGCCCGGCTTCGCCGCGGTCTTCGCGCCCGCACTTTTCGGTCCGTGCGTCGGTGTCCTCTGGCCGGCCTGCAACTTCTGTCCGACATGTCCGCCGTCTACGGGCTTATTTCTCGCCTGCAAAAAAAAAACGAAAAATTCGAATTACACGTGTGCGATATTTTATTTCGGTCTACCTATCTTTCGGGTTATTTCTGAATAGTATGAGAAACGGCGACAAATTAAATTGTCCACATTTTTAGTTTTTCAATGGCGTGATTAATTTAAGGGTACGCGACAGAAAAGAATGTTCTAAAAATGACAACGAGCGTGATTTATTTAGTTGTTTGCGTTCAGTTTAAAAATCGATCGTCTTCCGGCTTTAAAAATTCAAATGCTCGAACAGTTTCATTACCTTTACATTTTAAACAAACAGATACAAATTACCGAAACCATCAAAAGCTTCTCAATGAAAACCGCGGTTTATGCTTTTTAATTAAAACTGACCTACAAACTTCTGCTTTGATGAAACGCAGGTCTGCCAGAAAATGCGTTCCGAGCGCAAGGCCAAACGCTTTTTTTTGTCTAATTAGCTTAACCTTTACCTGCAACGAAACTTTTGAAAATAACATAATTTGTTTGATAAGTGCCCCCTTGTAAATCTTTCAGTGTCCGTCGTTTAAAATTTAAACTGCATAAAATTAATCAAAATAAACAACTAATTTGATTTCGGCGTCAAATAAGACTAATATGTTCTTGTCTTATATATTTATATTGAGAGACTGCCAAGAATCTTTCGTTAGTATGATTCATCCCAATTACTTACTTTTGCCATAAGCATCAATTTAGGCTTTTATTAGAAAGGATTGAAGAAACTTGTTTAAACGCAGAAATTTCATTACACAAAGAACGCTCAAATTCCGAAAATTCCAAATAATTATTTACAAAAAAAAGAAAATCTGACAATTTCCCGAAAGAAAAATAAACTTGCGGACAAATTACCCCGCACACATGCGTTCGACAAATAAAATAAGAAAATCTTAAAATATATAGTTTTTGTCGAGAAGTTCGTAGTTTTGCGTAAAAAAAGTTATGTACGTAAAAGTCAGAAAAAGGGCACATTGCTGGCCAGAAAATATTGAAGCACGGGGCCTCCTTGGGGCAGAGTACTTTAACTTCCGAGTCAAGTAATGTCACTTTACTGACGAGTTTTGTATTAAATTTTACCCGAAATCGTATTATAATGTAAAATTTCAATTTTTACATAGAACTTTTGATTAAGATTAAATGGAATTGCTCTAAATGCAATAAGCTGTCCTTGTATCGATAATTCTAGTTTAGCCTAAAGGATTTGTGTTATAAGTAAAGCAAAAGGACTTTTGGCTCGTTTCACGAGACGTAGCTGCCGCTAGACTGGAAAGGTATTTCCATATTTCAAGTGAAGTTTCTAACTCCTGCATTTGCTCTAACGAGCAGAATACGAATAAAGTGCCCTATGTGTTTGTTCTTCCTTTTTGAGAATTTTGAATTGCGTCTGATTTTGGCAAACTCATAAATGACTTCTAACGTCAGGAAATAGGAATAAAGAGAAGAGAATGGAAAACTAATTCAAATTAGGGAACCAGCAGCCCTTTCCACAAATTTGTTATTATTCTTCGAGTGAGGAACAGGGGACTAAAAACTGCTCATTTCTCCAATAACTTTCCACTCTTTAACAAACTATTTTGCTGTCTGTCTGTTCCCCAAACAGATTTTTACTAAAAAATGCTCTCAATTTGATATTCTGATAAAATCCATCATTTCCACGCAAAACCACCAACACAACGTATCTGTTTTACGTAATTGTAAAGTAACAATCGTCGATTTATGCAAAATAAGCTTGCCAAATCAAAGTTCAACAAGGCATTACAGTAAACTGCCATTCAGTAACTTTGGAGTTACGATCATCGCTTCGACACGGCATTTCGGCGTAATTTATGGCATGCAGACGTTAGTTAATGTCACGCCAGTTAATTTTATTAAACGCTTAATGTTGTAATGGATTTAGGGAGACCGGCCCCGCGCCTTGCGTAATTTTTTTTAATAAACTCTCGACTGAAAATTCGAGCAATTTATATAGTTCAATCTGTCGTCGATATCGTACGGACTACGAATGTAGAATGCGGGGTCTAGTGCCAGCTATTTGTTATTGAGAAAAACCACGTGTCATAAATACATGTTCGTTTTGGTTTTTATTGTAGGAAATTTTACGTCGAAAAATTAGCCCCCCGAGGGAGGGAAGCTCGACCTCTGAGTACTCATCCTATTGGAAAATCCGGTCAACATTTTTTTTTGCACTTGCACAACACACGTGAGATTAAATGCTACCTTTTTACAAACAAATTTGCAAAAATGCGTTAAAAATGACCATTAATAACTCTTTTGCTGAAAGTACTGATGGGGTCCAGACACCAAACCCCCCGGTTCTATGTCCTTCCACAAAGAAAGCCTAATGGTGATACCATAATTTGCGAAAAAACGCCACCGAACCAATCCTAAAGTTACAACCCCCGGAATGTAAGAGTGCAATACATGGCGGTATGAATGACTTAAAAAATTTCGCAAGCTTAAATCAGACAGAAATTTATTATAAAATGGCGGTTTAAGGGTTGGTTATAGTTTATTTAAACATAATCTATCAAAGGAATAAACATAGTTGGTCTACTACGTAAAGTTACAACCCCCGGAATGTAAGAGGGCAATACATGGCGGTATGAATGACTTAAAAAAATTGGCAAGCTTAAATCAGACAGAAATTTATTATAAAATGGCGGTTTAAGGGTTGGTTAGAGATTATTTAAACATAATCTGTCAAATAAATAATCATACTTGGTCTACTACGTAAAGTTACAACCCCCGGAATGTAAGAGTGCAATACACGGTGGTATGAATGACTTAAAAAATTTCGCAAGCTTAAATCAGACCGAAATTTATTATAAAATGGCGGTTTAAGGGTTGGTTAGAGATTATTTAAACATAATCTGTCAAATAAATAATCACAGTTGGTCTACTACGTAAAGTTACAACCCCCGGAATGTAAGAGTGCTATACACGGTGGTATGAATGACTTAAACATTTTCGCAAGCTTAAATCAGACCGAAATTTATTATTAAAGGGCGGTTTAAGGGTTGGTTATAGATTATTTAAACATAATCTGTCAAATAAATAATCATAGTTGGTCTACTACGTAAAGTTACAACCCCCACAATGTAAAAGTGCTATACATGGTGGTATGAATGACTTAAAAAATTTCGCAAGCTTAAATCAGACCGAAATTTATTATTAGAGGGCAGTTTAAGGGTTGGTTATAGATTATTTAAACATAATCTGTCAAATAAATAAACATAGTTGGTGTATTACGTAAAGTTACAACCCCCACAATGTAAAAGTGCTATACATGGTGGTATGAATGACTTAAACAATTTCGCAAGCTTAAATCAGACCGACATTTATTATTAGAGGGCAGTTTAAGGGTTGGTTATAGATTATTTAAACATAATCTGTCAAATAAATAATCATAGTTGGTCTACTACGTAAAGTTACAACCCCCGGAATGTAAGAGTGCTATACATGGCGGTATGAATGACTTAAAAAATTTGGCAAGCTTAAATCAGACCGAAATTTATTATTAAACGGCAGTTTAAGGGTTGGTTATAGATTATTTAAACATAATCTGTCAAATAAATAATCACAGTTGGTCTACTACGTAAAGTTACAACCCCCGGAATGTAAGAGTGCTATACACGGTGGTATGAATGACTTAAAAAATTTCGCAAGCTTAAATCAGACCGAAATTTATTATAAAATGGCGGTTTAAGGGTTGGTTAGAGATTATTTAAACATAATCTGTCAAATAAATAATCATACTTGGTCTACTACGTAAAGTTACAACCCCCGGAATGTAAGAGTGCAATACATGGCGGTATGAATGTCTTAAAAAATTTCGCAAGCTTAAATCAGACCGAAATTTATTATAAAATGGCGGTTTAAGGGTTGGTTAGAGATTATTTAAACATAATCTGCCAAATAAATAATCATAGTTGGTCTACTACGTAAAGTTACAACCCCCGGAATGTAAATGTGCAATACATGGCGGTATGAATGACTTAAAAAATTTCGCAAACTTAAATCAGACCGAAATTTAATACTAAACGGCAGTTTAAGGGTTGGTTATAGATTATTTAAACATAATCTGTCAAATAAATAATTATAGTTGGCCTACTACGTAAAGTTACAACCCCCGGAATGTAAAGGTGCTATACACGGCGGTATGAATGACAAAAAATTTCGCAAGCTTAAATCGGACCGAAATTTATTATAAAATGGCGGTTTAAGGGTTGGTTATAGATTATTTAAACATAATCTGCCAAATAAATAATCATAGTTGGCCTACTACGTAAAGTTACAACCCCCGGAATGCAAGAGTGCTATACACGGCGGTATGAATGACTTAAAAAATTTTGCAAGCTTAAATCAGACCGAAATTTATTATTAAACGGCGGTTTAAGGGTTGGTTATAGATTATTTAAACATAATCTGTCAAATAAATAATCATAGTTGGTCTACTACGTAAAGTTACAACCCCCGAAATGTAAGAGTGCAATACATGGCGGTATGAATGACTTAAAAAATTTCGAAAGCTTAAATCAGATCGAAATTTATTATTAAACGGATAGGATTAATGAAAAAGTATCCATAGTTTTTTCTCGATAATTATCGCTATTCCATTAATCAATAACAATCAAAGCTCGACAATTTTCGACTGATATCAATAATAATCTATTATTATCGACAATTAACGATCAAAAGTTACCGATAATTATTGATTATTATCGACCACTGTAGGAGCACTATTGGGGTTGTTTCCACAGCCTTCTAAAGCTTGTAATAGCATTTATAAATTTTTAATCCTGAAATTTTTATTCCTGAGTTTTAAAGAAATGTAGGCAATTTAAAATAAATCAATTTACCGTTGCAGCGACTGTGAAAAGCGGATCTCGAAAATTACGCAAAATACCTTGGATTCAGCGTATATCATTCATCTCCCTTGGCGGCACACCAACACATGTAGTAAACAATAATTTGATTTACCGGTGTAATGAATCGTTAAAAAAGCCATTTATCAACAACCTTTTAATCTACTTATACACATTTTTTACGAGTTTACATAACGCCGGCGGATTAGTCAACGTTTAAGGGTAACAAAATACACCCGCACCTTCGCGAAATATATAGGGGAAGTTTGACTTCCAAACAGAACCAATTTAATTAACGTTACAACAAACAAACCTGATAATTATTCCGTTATCCGAGACAATTTCTGAAACGAAACAAAAGGCCTCCGAACGAGAATTAATGGAATATCCAATATAAATGGCTTATGTAAAACTGAAAGCTCACTTTTCGTTCGTGATTTCCGTTTCCTTTTCATATATCTGTCGTACGCTATTTCTGTAATTGTATTATCCACGGAAAGCTATATTTAAGAACATATTGTGCACGAGGTTCGGCCAAAGTATCGCAATCGTATATATATTTTAAATATCTAGGAGCTTATAAAACGTGAGAATTCCTCTACCTTTCAGTGTCTAGTTTAAATTCCAGTGGCACGTCACCTTTGAGCCTGCCAAAATGGTTAGTAGTTTCAGAAGCTTATTAGGGAAAATGTGTTAGTTTTATGAGTTTTTCTTAATTCTTTAATGAAAACGTGGGTGGTGCGTAAAATGTGTAACTGTAAGTACCCCTTGTGCCATTTTAGGTGGCAGTGTTAAATACGAATTATCGATTTTTCGACATTTCCAAAATTTTTGAAATATTCGTAATTTCGTAATTATGACAAATTCACACAATAAAATAGTATATTATATACCAAGGGACCAAAGGGTGTGTTTTAATCCCGAGGGTAGTTGAGGAAACTCGCCGATAGTGAACTCTTGGCAATCGGTATGACTTCAAACAGAATTTTGTCTAGTTACAATAGGTGCGATTTCGGTTTTTTTCACGTGTGTAAGAATAATTTCTGAGGCCGTCATTGGCATACACTCAGTTTAATTAACGTTGTTACTGTTTAGAATTTGCCATTATTTTTACGTCTCCAACAATGAGACCGATTGAACTAAGTTTATTGTTGAAAATATTTAGTTGTAATTTGGTCACTTGATAGGGGTTTATTAAATTTCGCGTGCTTTAATAAAAATGACTAGCGGTCTCTCCTCGATACCTGGGAGATTCGATCTATCTCTTTAATTACTGAGAAAAATTTTCTACCCCCACAATGGCGAATTATCTTAAAAATGGCGATGTCTAAATTCTGTATTGGGTAGTAGTGTTCCTTGCGCCACTAATCCCAAACGGCTATTAATTATTTCATACGATCAGAATTTTCCATTATAGCTTTACATATTGATGAGCTAAGAACTGTAACTTCATATCCCTCTTCAAATGGCTGTGATCGTATCCCTACGCCTGCCATCTAGCCGTCAAAAACAAAAGCTCATTGCGTAAAAAAGACCCGTATTACGTTGACGCCAGTCATCCAGATAAATTCTTTACATTATCACGACCAAAATTTGTTTGAGAAGGCACTTCAGAACCTTGACATTTTTTACAGCAAACTTAAAAAATCCAATTCAACCCAATGCGCCCTTTACAATCCTTACGAAAAATAATCATTCCAAACCCCGAAAAAGAACCACCTCTAGGGGGAAAACTCATTAAAATTTACGAAAATTGAAAACGGATTGGGTTAAATTTTTAAATCAATGTATTTAGGGTTGCTTTACAAAAATAATCATCCTAAAGCAGGAATACTTAAAAACCGTGAGGGGTAGAATTAATATCCCTTTTAAAGTAATGTTGTGAAATTTCAAAACGGATTCGATGTATTTACGGTTGCATGCACCCTTAAAAAATCATTCTAAGGCAGAGCACTCACCGACGTGACGTGACACATGACACCAGGAGTAATCCGACACTGACTAACTTTTAATGTTTAATCGGTGAGCGCAGACTCATACATTTATAGTGGTTCCACATGATGTGACGTGTCACTTGTCACGTTGAAAGTTATGTCATATGTCACGTCACCTCGGTGAGCGTAAAATACCAATACGCGAGGGTATAAATGCTAACTATAAAAGCATGTTCAAATATACGAAATTTTAAAACTGATTAAGGTTAAATTTTGACTTTAAAAAATAAACAGACGGACGAACAGAAAGAGTCCAAATGACCAAAATTTAATCAGTTAGTCCCTTGGTCATTATCTACCTATTACAAAGAAACAAAATTAGCAAATTCGAAACCGTTCTCGAGTTATCATGTACACAGACGGACGGACAAAAAGTTCAAATGATCGAAATTTAATCAGTTAGTCCTCTGGCCATTGTCTACCTGAAAACAGAATTTGGGAGAGAATTGGAAAATTCAAAACGGTTTGCGAGTTATCATATACACAGACGGACGGACGGACAGAAAGTCCACCTCTCACCTGCATTCTTTGATGTTTAACTATAAAAATTAGTTGTGCACATTGTGGAAAATGCGAATCCCCGATCTCTAAAACCGCCCTAGTCAAAATATTTACCTCAAAGAATGACGTACGAAAGAAAATTCGTGACAAGAAAAGCCGATTTCTAAAGAAAAATTGAGACCATTGAAGTTCTTTAGACTCTTCGCACTTTTATGCGCCGGATTCTTTGATTTATTCGCGGGCGCTATTTTTCTCTTCTTTAGATCTCGGATTCTTTGAAATTTTGGGATTCTGTTTTCTCATTTTTCAAATCTATTACATCCCTGATACTTCACTTTCTTCAGATTTCCTTAACGTTCCTCGAGGAGGTTTACATATTGACTTGTGACAAATCGAAATTTATATAAGTATACTAGCAGACCCCGCGAACTTGGGGATTCACGTTTTCTTTATATGGGACATACGCTCGGTATCGGCGGCTGCCCACCTCGCACTCCCAACGAAACAAAACTTCATAAAAATCGGTATTGAGACCATCACATTTTTTTTTACAGTTTTGTATAGTTATTTGTCGATCCGTCCGTCTGTTAGATTTTTCTAATACGGTTTGGAAACTTTGGTACTTAAAGCAAATGTATATGCTATTTATTGTAATCGATAGAAGAAATTAAAAAAAACTTTGCTTACATCAAATCCTTTTATTTCTTTGAAATTGTCATTTTTTCGGATTCTTCCCTGTAATAAAACCATTCAGATTCTTCATAGCTTTGATATTCTTCACATTGCTTCCGATTTTTCACACCTTTGACTTTCCAGATTTTCTCGATTTCTTTATCCCAGTCTTCAGACTTCAGGTTTTTCCAATTTTCGATTATTGGTTAATAACTCACACTCTTGAGATTAATTCATTTCCTTAGATTTCTCGAACCATTCGATAAGGAAAGACCCATTAGCAGTGATTCCTAAACTTCTTGTGATTTTTTAGATTGATTGAGTTCTTTACACCTTTCGGATTCATGGTATTCATGGTATTATGATGAAAAGTCTCATCGAAAGGAATTATTTTCCTCCGCGACTCATGTTCGAGATCAGCGAGTGACTAATTAATGCTCTCAATGAAAAAAACCGTTTTGTACTGACTACCGTCCGCCTTCCTTACTCTTTAGCAAAATTGGGGTGGGGTAACCGGTTTCATCCTTCATGGTACTCTAATGAATGATCTCAACAAAAGGAATTAACTTTTACGAACCACAGTGCTCCTCCTAGACCCCTTACCGTGAACGGTTGCGATTGGGACGTCTGGAAGAAGTATTTCTATTGATGACTTCAAAACTTTAAGAGCGACTATCTCGAAAACGGTGTGTGGGAGGAGAGTATTCACAGAAGGAAAATCATCTACTAGTGATGTTAACACGTTCAGTGAATGTATCTTCAAAAGGATAAGGTACTCTCAAAGGGCGGTTGGAAGGTCTAGAGGAGACGGAGATGTGAAAACCTTAGTCTGAATATCTCAAAAATGTAGTGTCAGAAGAGGGTAGATAAAGCACTATTGCGGATCAGAAGCAGTATGAAATTTAATATAACTTTTGATGCGGCAACTAATTACAAAAATGCATACTTAATGGACCACACTGTAGATATCTTGCATCGGACTATCTACGGAAGTATTTACTATATTTTGATACTTCATTTGAGAGCTTGTTTTTCTCTTTCTCACTATACCTAAATCATGTATGAAATAATATAATATAAAGTAAACTTGGAATTTATTCAACTCTGTAATGTATCAGAAACGTTATACTTAACGTGAAGGTTTTCTGTAAAAAAACGATACTAAATCACGCTAATAATAGTAAAGGTAATACTTTACATTTCCCGAACTGCTCTAGTTCAAATTTTTTCACACCAAAAATCTAAATTCCCTTTTAATTGAAATCTAGCGATCTCTCCTCGATTGGTGAACGACTTCACTTTTTTTTTTGAATAACCCCCTCTTTAATGACTTCAGTTGTTTCCCACACCCACAAATGACAGAATTTTTTATTTGGTTAGTGTCTTTTTCACTACCAATCCTAAACGGCTGTTACAGACCCCAATCAATTCAAAACCTGCACGTCGGCAGTTTGCACTGTAAAAGTTTGCCTCATGATCAGTCCCCATTAAAAAAAGATTGAATTTTTACTCTATCACCGCAATCTTGACCCCAGAAGCAATTAAAAAAACCTATGTCCACTATATGTTACACGAAGAACAATACTTGTCTGTAAAAAATATCACTATGATAATTATATGACCAGAAAAAAGTCAGAACCCTCAATTGTAATTTGAATTTCCCCTCTATCAAATATATGTAGATCCAGGTATGCGCATAAGGTGATATGATACTGTCACGTTGTTTACTTCAATGTAAACAATTTAATAGTGCACATTGTTCATATAATAAAAATAATTTTTTTTTACATTGTTCATATAATAAAAATAATTGAAATGTAAATTTCTATCATTGACAAAAAATTCTACTTTTAAGTGTTTTTGCGAAAAACTCAAAAAACTTAATTTAACTTTCTAACACTGTTTTGTATAGAATCTTAGAGAAAATCCTGACAACCGAATTGCAAAATTCGAAACTATTCGCGAGTTATCATCTAAACTGACGGACGAACAGACATACCCAACGACCAAAATTTAATCAGTTAGTCCCTTCACTATTGACTACCTATTACTGAAGAAAGAATTCGGAATTTCGGAAAATTCGAAACCGTTCTCGAGTTATCACGTACACAGACGGACGGACGGACCAAATCGTGAACTCGCTTTTAGCAGCTCGTTAATAATCATTCTAATAAAATATTATGCGAACTTTAAAAACATCCCCATCCCTCGCGAGGTCTAAATGCTAACCATGGAAGCGGCCTCATTAAAATTTACGAAACCTAAAACGGATTAGGGTTAGACTTTTTAATCAATGGATTTAGGCTGGAGTCTTTAGAAAAATAATCAGTTTAAAGCAAGAATGCGTAATCCTTGAAAAAAGAGCACCCTTTGCGGGGTATATAAAACCATTTTCAATAAAAGTTATACGAAGTTTCAAAACGAATTTGAGTTTGAATTTGACACCGATTGCTTGTGCTTGTGCACCCTTAAAAAATTATTCTAAAACAATATTATATGAACCCTAAAAAAGTTGCACCCCTCGCAGGGGGTATAAATGATAACTATAAGCATGGTCATTGAAATATACGAAAATTTAAAGCCGATTGAGTTTAAATTTTGACATCAATGTTGCAAATTCTTTAAAAAAATCGTTTTATATATATTATACAGGGTGTTTGTTAAACATGCGACTAACCTTAGAAAGGTGGACTATTCTGAGCATATTTTATCCTTTGCTGAGTTTTTAAACACTTTTTTCCGGGGCTAGCTCCGTAATAACTCCAAGATCTCCAGTGCTAGAAGCTCCTTGATCGTTAAAATTTTGAGGCATTGTAATAAATGATCTTTTATTGTTATTCCTATTTTAAGGGCCCTAAATGAACATAGAGGTCTCAAAAAATGTAGATCGCCGTTATCTTCTGTGACCAGTGTGAGAGGTCGGTCATTTATGGTCATAGCAACGTTGCCCAGGCTTCCTAATATCCTCTCGGCGAGGTCCTTTATCAATTAATCTTCCCCAGTAAACCCCAGGAGATGCAGGAGGGACGAAAGTCCATTGTATCTATCGATTGTTGCATTTGTTCTTCACTTTCTTCCACGAAATTTTTTCCGTTCTATTAACCTACCCTCTAAAATGCAAAATGTTCGATATACAGAGTTATAGTATACTTCACCCCCAGGTTCTACGCTAACTTCACACTACAAGAACATGGAAATAAAGTCAACCCAGCAACGTTAAAAAAAATGGCTCCCAGAATGACTATTCCCTCCAAAACTAAACAAGATCCTGCTTAAATTTGAAAACTAGCACGTGATCAAGCACTGGTAATCAGATACCCAGATTCTAAGAAAGGGGGAAATACACAGGATGTGACTCATCTGTGGTGCAATAAAAACCTTTTGTTAAGAGCAAGATGGAAAATTACATGGCCTTGTATTTAACTAAGGACAAAATCATCGAATCGCAACTCATATATCACACATAGATTCTAAAAAGTTTTTGATTAGCGTAATCTTGCCCCAAAATAGGTAACTAGTCCCTAGTTTCGGGGTTTAGAGCCTACAGTTAAATGTCGAAGACAATCACGGAATTAGGTATCGTAACTGATTTGATTACAGTTTTTGCCACCTCCGTGACTGCTTCATTCATGTAATCAAAACATAAACATAAATTAAGCAAACATTACACTTCTGCATTACGGTTAAATCAAGGCAATTTAGTTATCGTAATTTTCTTTTGAATGTAATCTTTCCGAACTGATGTTAAACTTTGTCGACAGGCCGAGATGGACCAGGAACAATTGAACAGTAAGAAAGGACTAAGATCGACGAAATTTGATTAATGAAACTTGTAGTGTTGAAGAAGGCGTTCACAATGTTCGACTCCAACAAAAGGGGCAGCATCGAAAAGGAGAAGGTGAAGACAATACTGAGAACACTTGGAGCGTCCTACGACGACAAAGAGTTGGACGCGCAATTAACGGTCGAGGATCCAAACGGTGAGTATTTAGATAAGAAACTTCTTCCAGCGCCGCCGACGAAAATAAAATAAACTTAGATTATGAGTTCAAAAGCGGAGCTTTTAGTTTCGAACTTTAACTTCGAAAGCTCCCCCTCTTCCTTCGTGTAACCGAAATCGAAAAAGTATCGCGATCAACTTTATCCGACGCCATCCAACTTATGATACCGTTGCGACATATTATAGACGGAATGGATCCGTTCTTTGCAAGAAATAGTTTTAAAAGTTAATAAACTACGCCACTATGATGGATGGGGGGGTAGCTGGCCGTTTCCCCGTCCTTTCCACGATAGACAAATTTTAGAGAGCCTGCAACAATGAACTATTATGTCTACCTTACGAGTCTTCCCATCAAATCCGCTTTAATCGGCCGCATTCCCCAAAGAAACCGACCGTAGGATAAAATGGATCTAAAGGGTTATTAATAGGTCGATTAATTTCGAAACGGCTCACTTTCTAACAGGTCCAAGCAATTGAGGGGATTATAAGTGAAATAGAGCTTCTGCTCGAGCACCCTCTGATAAAACAAACGCTAATTAATTTGCCCGTAATGTTGACAGAATTTCGGGCTCAAGGCTGACTTAGGGGTGAAGTAACAGTGGAAGAACGAGGTTCAGGCAAACAATCGTCACACGCAGGTTGACGGAATGTACTGTACAGGGGTGAAAATAACTCATTTTAACATCGGACATTCGTTTTCTACGCCTGCACTGCAATCTTGCAGAAATTTCAAAATTAGGCCACTCAGTAGAGCAGAAGATTCTACCGTAATTTGGATTTCCGTACTGAAATGCTAGACCGAGCTTTTGTCCGTCGAAAATTCTTCAGAGGCTGTTAGGTGAAAGAGACTTTTCTCAAAATAATCGTTGAATATTCTGAGTATTACATTCGCGAAATTGAAGCCGGTTTGCTTGGAAGCGATCTGTTTCCATATTTCTAAAGGGAGCGATGTTTTCCAACGAGATAACTAAGTTATTTTACATTTTTTGACTTGTATAAAGTAGTAATTATAAGGAATGTGCATAAGGAATATTGTTTGACATAATTTTAATATTCCTAAAGGAATCGACCACAAAGTTTGTATTGAATTTATGGATATTAATAACATCCATACAAAGAATTTGGTTATTTTGCTTCATTGATGGGAAAAATTGCATTTAATTTCAATGATACAATTCCTTTGGTAAGATTAAACTTTTGTTTAGCATTCAGAGGTGTTTGTATGTTTTGAACAGGCTATGTTGTTATGTTAGCCGTATTCCGAGTATTTGTTGCACCTTCAATTTTTCATTCATTTTATGTGTAACATTTCAATCATGTCGCTCAAAAACTATTAGTTGAAATATTTGACGCGCTAAAAAACTGGGTTGCACGTTTGAATCGAACGAGTGAGACAATTTATCGGTTGGGAAGCACAGCGGAACTGACGTTTGGTGAAGTCAGCGATGCATGGTAACGTACTTATTATCAGCAACGCCAGCATTTTGTTCCATTGTCGTTCCTTTGAGGTTGATTGAGCGTATCGATCAGCGCAAGTGGAAATTTTGTACATTAAAGCTGTGTCAGATCGTCGAAATAAAACGGAAGCACGAAATCAACAAGTTGCGTTGACGAAATCGTTCTAATTTATCCAAGAGTTACAGTCGTCGGCGGTTATATCGAGTGCTAAAAGTTGTGATTTTTCATTTGAATGTGGAACTTAGCTTCCGACCGCGCCCTCATCAATCTTCAGTCTCCATTAAAGTTCGCATTGATCGTCGAGGATGGCTCTAGAGCGACAGCAGTCTCTTTATTTCATAAGACTCGTTTATTCCCAGAAATGGATTCTTTGTTCGCCAGCAAAAGCCGACAAAAGTGTGAAAATAGAGAATGAACCGACAAAAGAGAAGGGCGAATCTTAATTTTACTGCATCTTTTATTAGAGTGGATATGGTACTTCAAAAGACTAGATTTGAATTTACTACGATTGAAATTGGTCAACTGCAGTACAAGAAACGTGTTTATTCCTGCGTTGTTACTTTCCTATGAGGTTTTGTTTCTTAATGGGTTTCGGAAACCTTTCGAGCTGAGATGTCTGGCATTTATATCATATTTCGTCTTCTTAATTAGTGTTATTTAGTTACACCTGCAAATTTTCTTCTGCTTATGCAACAAGCCATTGGTGGCTTTTTTGATTTTTATAAGCAAACGCGAAGTGACATTTCCATAGTAATCATTGAGTTACGAATAAACAGTCCACTTAATTATTTCCTTTTATTTTTAAATTATATTGCAGGTATAATAAATATAATATTATAAGAAAAACGCGTATAACTGGTCTTTAAAGCAGTTGCAACATTTAAACTCGCACATAAAGCTATCAAGGTATTTCGTAGGTCTGCTTTGTTTGTAAATACGGACCTTTTGATATTCACAAAGGTTTGTTTAAAATTTCCACGAAACCTTCAGAAACCGTAAAACCTTTTATGCGGCCTTCTACTGTAGAAGGGTTCTGTTTTCCACTGTTAAAGAGAGAATTAAAAGTCACTAGCTCTTTTGAACGCATTGACTTTAAGAAAACGTATTAAAGTCTTCCATTGAGAAGACAAAGTTTAAAAGCCAGTGAAATTCAATGTGAAAAACGTAACGGAAGAGTATCATAAAAAAAGTAAAGGAACCAGACCTTCTGCGTGAAAATTAATTGCGACATTTGCATAATTACATTAGCGCCGGTTTAGATTCATCAAAAGACATGGAAATAGGCACGCTATTTTTAGGCGTTCGTTTGAGGGAAATTTAAAACTGAATTACATGTACAAAACTAATAAAAGCGTTATCGTCGAAAGCGTGTAACCCAAAATAAATTCTATTGCTCCAATAATAAAAGCATATACTTGTTGGTTGTAATCGGCCTCTGTAACTGTCATTTTAGTAACAGCTTTTACGCTCTTATGGCATAATCAATTAAAAAAAGTAATTGCCCCGGGCTAGGCAATAGTTTTTGGCAGCACGCCGCCGGGTAGTTGCAATGCAGTTTCCAAATTAAACTGAGAAATTCGAGTGATTTTCCGCTACGTATCATTTCGGTTGTGGAAATCTACGATTATTACTCATTTAATTTTCGTTTTCCCAAAGGGTTTATTGGCGATCGCGAATGTAAAAATAAAAATGAGATCAAAAATGTAAAAATAAACTTTCGGTCGATAGAAAACCTTTTTCATTAAAGCACGGATTGGTGTCAACGAAAGAACACGAAAATGGGGATTATTACTTGTAGATGTAACGACCTGAAGGAATGCACTAAAATCCTTTATAACTAACTTTGTTTCTTGAAATTTTGGGTTTCAGTAGTTTGTATCATAGAAAATGTATAGGTTTTCCAAATTCAGAAGGTTGATTTTCAATGGGTGTCACGTGTGGTGGAATTTTTATAGTGAGATTTTTAAACCGTGTTGGAAATTAAGTTTGTCCTAGCTACGTATTTCAGTTTAAGAGAGCATTGTTTTTTTTATGGTCGCCAGATGGCGGAGCGACACGATAGCGAGAATTTAGCTCATTTTTAAATAGGGGTCTAAGTCAGCTGAATTTCAGTGGGAAAAAGCAACTTTTTCTTCTGTGCCTTCGTGAATATAACAATACCAATTAGCGAAATTAAAAAAAAAACATGGCGGACTTTGTTATTATACGATCAAAAAGTAAAATATAATTGTGGAAATTAGTTTTGAGGGGAATTTTAGGATTGATTCGAGTTTTTTACTACAGGGTGTAGTCTGAAAATTAGAGTATCTTGTGATTTCTGGTAGAATTTGAAAGATTTTTTCGACTGGCGTGGGACCCTCATCCTCTGTGATGAAGTTGTCAAAGAAATTTGGGCCCTCCTCACAGAATTCAAACCGCTCGCAGCACACTTTAATTCCGACATAAAACGAACCTTCATTCGGCGATCGTCCGGCCCAGAACGGGTCTCATCGGCCACTTGTTACCGGCTCTCTGCGCGGAGGTTCACTAAAAAAGACACCCCACCGCTCCGAGAGCTGAGAACTGATTCAGGCGTCGCTGAAAACTTAGAGCCCCTCTCCCCCCGGCCGCTGTACAGTCGCGTGGTTCATTACATTTGGGAGAAACCCAGTATACTCAAAACGAAAACTTTTTAAACTCTGTATCCAAGATAAGGAAGTCCATTGACCATAGACTTACGACAATGGTCGAATTACCCTTAGCACTTAACATCATTTTTGGAAAGGGTTCTTATGCTTGGAACGTTTTGGGGGAGCACATATCACCGGGGCTCTGCCCCAGTACACGAAGATTTTATGACGAAATCAACACTAAACCTTTTTATTTCTCCTGACAAGTATTCCATACCCAAAAACCCCTCGGGCCTATGTTCCCCCAGTACTCCCAGCCCTTTAACATCATATTTGGTAAGGGAACACAAAATGGGGGGGGGGTCCCATATAACCTCAGACCGCCCGGTTGTATATTTTTCCCCAAATTTTTTCTTGCCATTTATCATCATTTTTGGAAAGGGTCCTTGTGACTGAACCCTTTGGGGGAAAACATGTCACCGGGGGGTCTGGGGGTATGGAATACCCCGTAGTACACAAAGGTTTTATGACGAAATGAGCATGAACATAGAAGTCCCTCTCTTTCCCCTGAGAGATATTACACTCTCGGTTCTATATTTTCCACCAAAGTGTTTAGTACCCTTGGAGCCTACCATCATCATTTTTCGTGAGTATTTTTATAGCTGAACGTTGTTGGGGAGAACCATATCACCTGGGGGTCTGGGATACACTAAGGTGTTACGACGAAATGAACATTGAAGCCCTTTCTTTCTACTGGGGGGTATTTAGGCTCCCAGAGTTTTTCTAAAATTTTAATTCTATTTGAGCTTTTAAATATCGAAGACAAATCCTATAAGAACAGAGAAAAAGAAGGTGAAAAGAATGTTGAAAGAGGAAAACGAACAGAAGGTGAACAGGAGTTTAGTTATCATCA